CCAACCCTTTTAGTTTTTTAACAAAAAAAAAAATTTAAATTTTATTTTCAACAATCTTGTCAATCTATATGTAAAATTTGGAATAGTTTTTGGTTATTTTTAAAATTACTTTTCAATATATAGTTAAAATATGCATTGTAATGGTAATTTATAATTGTTTTTCTATCAATAACTACTTCAAAAAGAACCAGTTTTCAGTAATTATATACATGTAGGCTACTTTAAACAAGGGGCGTTTATTTCTTCAAAATTTCTGTATGGTCTATCGCTAAAATTAAAAAAAAAAAACAGTTAAATTTGTGTAATGGATTTGCCCAGCTTTAAATTAGGAACAGTCCATTTAAAATTTAGACATTTCAACAGCAAACAAAAAGAATTGAGCTTCCAACATTTGAAAGCCTAGTCGCATGATTTCACCTTTTTTGGTTCAAGCAGTTTATATTGTAATAGGATTTTTAATCTTGTCCCACTAAAATAAAATTTTAATTGGTAAGTTTTAGAAATCACTTTTCAATTTATTGCTAAGATTTTTTTTCATGTACAAACTTCACATATAAATAAGCCTGTATATTGTTTGTTACTGTCGTAATTATATCACCTTTGTCAGTTTTTTTATTCCTTTACCAGATTCAACCGAGGTGATAAGCCCTGTCACCAGAACCTGGGTAGGCCAGCATGCACTCCCGTTTTACCTACTTTTTTTGGTTGTGTTTCTTTTATATTTGTATCGGTATTGTAAACATTATAAATATTAATTGCAAAATTAATAAAGAATTGAATTGAATATCTCGAAAAAGAAAATAATGTATACAAAACATACGAGTATCAATATTCTTCAACACCGTGATTCGTCTACGTAGCCAAGTGACGTAACTTCCCATTTCGGTAATATCTCGAGCGTTATAATCACGTGACATCAAGTGCACGAAATCTTGTAATTTACGAGACATTTTTATCGAATTATCAGAATTACTTTATAAATAATAATATGTCATCACTCTATATTAAACATTGTTTCCTACTGAACAGAACTGATTTTTTGTTTCTGGTAAAAAAAAGTTTCAGCACACATGATCTTTTTACGGCAGAATAATTATTAAATGGAATGTATTTTTCAAAACACATATAGAAACATTTTATTTAGCACATACTATTTTTAGATAAAACTTAAAACGTTTTAATAGTAAGCGGGTTTTTAAATGAATAAAATCCCTCAGGAGTAAAAAACTTCAGTTTAATTTCCATTTAATCCAAAAGATTTTAAAAAAAAATTCATTGACTTTTTCAAAAAATACTAAACACCAAAAAACAAAACTTTATAACGATAAGACTGATAATGTAACCTGTAAATAAATTGAAATACTGGCTTCTTTATTGTATGTTTATTGTCATACATGTACTTTAATTAAGGTTATTTTGTAGATAATTAAGCTAGAAAAATGTATTGGGAATACTTCAGTAATTAAAGGACTTCTTCTTTTGTTAACTTTTAAAGTAATGTGGTTGAGAATTTTTTGTAAATTATTTTAACCATATAGTCCGCTTTTACAAGTTTGTGTTGATTTTCTCCAAATATCTTATTATATAGATTTATATCTCAATGTTTTACCTTTACCTTTATTATCTGTTATTTTAGTACATTTATTGAATTTTAACTAGTCATTACAAACCAAAAGGATAATGTGTTTTCATAAATGAAATATTATAATACATTGTATTTGTAATACTATTTATCAAAATGTAGTGTAATAATGGAAATGAAGCGTTTGTTACAATTTAAAACAACAAAATACATATCAAGTTCATTATTTTAAAAAAAGTGCGAAACCACCCGGGCACAACCCGGGAAGATTCGCGTGTCCCCGGTTCTCTTTTTTTTTCCCATCGGGTGGGTTTTTTCAGTGAAGTTTTAAAACCGATAAAATTCTGGTGTTTTTGGTGCTTAATAATGCTGCGAGTGAAGAAACAGCTGCTTTCCTACACAGTGAAATCCAACACTTCCACCTGTTCTCTGTGACTTTTTCCTCCTCCAGATAAGTAAAAAATGGAACTTAATTCTTCTTAAGAAGTGGATCTCAAACATTAAATTGGTTGAAAACTGGTAGCGAGTATATTTTAAGTTTTTAACAATATAAGATCCTTGGACTATCGTTTTTGAATACCAAAGGAAACAAGCTTAACTAAAAAACCAGAACATTTGTTACCCCCTTGGGACGATTGAGGAACTGGGGGGTTTTTACGTTTCTGAGAAAAAATGGTACTAAATTAATTGGAGATAAAAAACAAAAGACATAAATAGAAAACAAAAGTTTATTCAATTATTTCTTTATAGAAAGATTTGATATTTAAATTGATGGTTTTATAACACCATTATAAATATTATTCACAAAGTGCAAAGTTAGACAAGACATAGAAATCATGCTGTAAAATATTTTATTTAGAAACATGAACGTTTTGTTACTATGGTGTGTAATTGGTTTAAGATCACAAGGGGTGAAAAAGAGAAAAAACGATTAAAAAGGAATTCAATTTTGGGTGCCGAAAAAGGATTTTAAAACAAACAAAATTTTGAAAATCTTAACAATAAGATAAGCCTGGGGGGGTTGGGTTTAAAACGGAAAAGTTATTATATAAAGACTAAAAAAAATATACTTAGAATGGTGAATTGAAGATCGATTGTGTAATGCGAATATCTAGGTCTATTCTAGTAGAAAACGTTTAAAATGCTTTTTTTTTGTGGGCCATTCCGACACAATGATTAGACAGAATTAGAGCGAATGATCTGATTTTTTTGCACTAAGTGTTGGTACTTACTTCATCAATGTTATAAAAATCTCGAAATATATATAATATTTCTTGTTCTCTTTAAGTGTAGAAATTTTAAGAGAACGATATTTTTAAAAAAGAGGAGAAGATCATTTGGGCGTTTTAGAGGCACAAATTCCCCTTATAGTATGTGTAAAATCCCGTATGCAGATTAGGTGTCAGCCAATATAAGTAGCAGAAAGACAATGAAAGTTCGAAATGAAAGTACGAGAAAATTGTTTGCATTATTATATAATAAGTTAATTACATGTAATATCAAATGAAAGCCTTTTTCACCCATGTGACTATTTTATAAGATTTTTAAGCAAATCTTTAGTAAAAACAACAGCAACAAACAAACAAACAAACAAACAAACAACAACAACAACAAAAGCAATACTTGTGGTGCTCGTGTTTGGATTTGTCAAATCATAAACTCATATCGGTCATATTTTTGCAAAATCCCTTCTTGTCACAATAGTTCTACATTTGTACATGTATCTAAATATAAAAGTATCATAATCAAGCGTTCGACTTTCCCTGGTTCCTAGTCACTCATCAGACAGCAGCAGCAAACTACCACTAATGTTGCCAGTAAACAGCACTGCACCACACGGTCTTTGTCGTTGTTGTTCTGTGGCTGTTGAACTCTGAAAAGGGTTTGACAATAAAGTCGTTTTCCTGAAAGATTCAAGGAGTTTCGTTCCAGCCAGAGATTACAACTTGATTTCAATGGCTATGATGCTTCGCAATAGACCTCTAACACAATCAGGCAAAGAAAATATAACAGTTGATAACAAATTCCATTATTAATTAAAGTTTGCAGAAATTTAAAGAGTTGTGCTACTCCCTCGCGACGAACACTGGCTGATAACCTGGGCGCATTGTGTATTCGTGTTTTACGTACACAGCCTCTTATGGAGGAGCCGACGTTTTACGATCGGAGAGTTAAATGTTTCGTTTAAAGTACACGATAATACACGAGCGTCACACGAATGCCTCCTGCGCCGTTCTTGACCAATTTAATTTTGTAAATGCTTACTAATTAACACTTACGTATACTTGGTACACAACATCGTCGCAAAATACGCCCGTCACAAAAACTTTTGTCAGAAATATGGGCATTATAGATATGCACAGAGGAGAAATGTTCTGGGCAATATCCGGACAAAACCTGGATAGTTTATTATCTCTAGTGACCTTGACCTTGCAAATATTAACTTAAATAACATGTGTCACACTTGTAGTCATGATAGTCATGATAGTCATCATTTGTATTACAATCCGTCAATAAATTATGACTAAATGGTTCCCGTTTACAACTTTTGACCTCTATACGACCTTGACATTGGTAACAGGGACCTGGATTATGTGCGCATTACTTAACTTCACAATGGTAGTCATGATAATGACCATTTGTGTTTCAATCCCCTAATAAATGATGTCTAAATGGTCCGAATACACATTTTCATATTTTTATTTGAACTTTGACCCCTATGTATGAGACTGACCTTGGCCACAGGCATTGAATTCTGCACGCGACATTCAGCCTTACAATGGTGAACATTTGTGCCAAGTTATATTTAAATCCCTCTATGCATGTAGATGTTTTGCTGCGGACAAGCGTTTTTCAATGACCTCTAAGTGTGACTTTAACCTTTGACCTAGAGGCTTGGTTTATGCGCATAACACTGCTTCTCATAGTGGTGAACGTTTCTATCAAGTTTCATTAGAATCCCTACACATGTGTAGGGGATTTACTCGGGACACAATATATATATTATTATCTTTTGTGACCTTGACCTTGCATATATTAACCTAAATTACATGTTTCATATCCGTAGTCATGATAATGACCATTTGTCAATTCCTTAATAAATGATGACTAAATGGTTCGGATACACATTTTCATATTTTATCTTTGCCTAGACCCATATGTGTGACCTTGACCTTGGCCGTAGGGACCTAAATTTTGCACGTGACACTCCACCCTACTATGGTGAACATTTGTGCCAAGTTATATTGAATTCCTTTATACATGTAGAAGTTTTGCTCCGGACAAGCGTTTTTTCAATGAACTCTTAGAGATATTGACCTTTGACCTAGAGACCCGGTTCATGTGCATGACACAGCTTTTCGTAGTGGTGAACATTTCTATTAAGTTTCATTAGAATCCCTCCATATGTGTAAGGGATATGCTCTGGACAAAATCTCTATATTTTATCATCTTTAGTGACATTGATCTTGCATATATTAACCTTTTTTAAACGGGCGTATAATAACCATAAGCTTGAAATATATCTAAAAAAATAATTCAGCTTGAACTATAAAATTAAAACTAGTGATGATTTTTTTAGTAAAACAGTGACATTATATATAAACTTTATAAAGCTATATCGTATGGAATAATTTTATAAAATTTATAACCAATTTTTTTTATCTTTTCCATAGCCTTATGGTCGATTCTCGAAAGATTTGTATCATCTAACGTAACGTACGTCTATGTTATTTAATACACATGAATGAACTTAAACAAAATAAAATGTTCCGCAACAAAATAAACAAATTATTATTCTGCTATTTAAAGTACGGTTTAAACCATCTATCGATAATTAAGGCGACACTCACGTCTGAGGCTGAGTGACAATAATTGTTTGCCCTTGAGGATACGATTGTTGGCCGTATCCTGGTTGACCGTAACCTTGTTGCGGATATCCTCCAAACTGCTGTCCATATCCTTGTTGCGGATATGCGGGCTGTGCATATACCGGGGGTTGGGGATATACTTGCTGTGGGTAAGCCATTGGCTATGCTAATACAAAACAACAAAACATCAGGTCAAAAGTCACTCCTAAGATATCTGAGAGTAATATTATACATCATTATTAAAAGTCAAATCATCTTGTCATCTAAAGGTCGATTTGTTTAATTAAATCAAATTAAATCAGAATTAAATTATCATGAAACTGATACTCTTTCCCTTTGTATATGTGTTTTATTAAAATTTGCATTATCTTTAATCCTCATCGACGTCTGTTTTATATGTTGAATCTCATAATAATCGAATACTCATAATTTTAGAATCATTTAACGTGTTACAAAATGTTAAGAAAAACGGATATAGAAATAACTTCACTTACTTCTTTGTATTTATAATGATTAATTCCTTTAAATGTGCACGGTTAAACAAGTTGAAATATCTGTCAAAAATCATTAAGGTTTATTTGAGAGGTACATGACATGTATATACGTACTGTACTTGTAACACGAGGAAGGAATTGTTTACATTTCATAATGATTAACAACCTTTTTAAATAATAAAAAAAAAACAACGTTAAATATGCCATGATTTAGTACAAGAATAACTCCGGCAGTAACAAAAGTTATCATAAGAACTCTAGGACATCTTTAAAGTTATCAAAAGAACTCCATGACATTTGAAAAATCGGGTATAAATTTGTTAGCCGGTGCTTTATGTTTGCAATTTTGCATTATAATTAGGTAATTATGTATGACAATGATGAAGACTCGAATACGGGCGAATTGGCAAATTATTTGAAAATTTTTACTCAAAACTACCAGATTTTAAGCAAGAGGCAATGAAAAATGGCCCGCCCGTGAATTTGTTCTTGACACATAATAGATTTATTTCTTTATTTCAGTCTCATCTTTACATGTATACATAAAATTACATATAAAACATAATACAAGATGTAAGGCAAGCTTAATCATTAAAGTTTGATTTAACACCTAAAACTCACTTTTTAATCATGAAAATTATTATTTTTGACAAGTGTTTTTTGTAGTATATACAAAAGTTTTCCGACGAACTTTGTAACAGTTATCACAAGAACTCCATCCTTCGTGTAACAGTTCCTCCCCGTATGTAATAACGTATCAATTATCCCGATCTAACAAATAGTGATTTACCGTTTTCACTTCAAGATCTAAAATGATAAACTACAATTTAAGTTAAAAGATTTCATTTTTTTTAATTTGGACATGCATAATTGTACGTAAACGTACACAATCTACGTTTATGACCAGTATAAGAATTTCTTGCATATTTTCATATGAAAAACATGTGATAATCATGAGTTTAACATATTTTTGTTGACACATGATTTTAATTTGGTCCTGGTTTAACCATCGTCGGATACCCACGGCCGAACCACTAACATTTATCATTAACATTGATTGCATGTTATGTGACATGTTTATCAATCGTGGGTATCCGACGATGGGTTTAACATATGTTATTTTATATATGAAAAACATTTTTTAAACACATGGTTTTTAAAAAATATAAAAACTTTAGGGGTTTCCCAAATATAATTAAAAGAAAGAATTTCGTTTTGTCGGCGTATACACAAACCCAATATATCCGCTGTAGCCGAACAGGTTTTGCTACTTTTCAGAAAAACAGAAATGTTTTGTTTTTTTACAAAACATTTTTTTGTTGAAATACTTTTTACATTTAAAATTGGGAAAAACTCAATCCAAGAATAACATTGGGTTTACAAAAAGAAATAAATTTATTTTGTCCGAAAAAACTGTTCAACTCCAAAATCAAAAAGGGGGATTGGGGAAAACAAATACCTCATACATAATTTTAAACTACGGGGGCATCAAAGGGGGAGTACTTTCACATGTCTTTTAATTCATTCCACGATTAGCTTCCTTTGTCTAAAGTCTGTTTTCCCCTACATTAATCCCCTTTGCATTTTTTGTAAACAGTCAAACCAATCTTTATAATTATGTACTTGTGCGTCAAATTTGCAATGGGTGAGTTTTCTTTTCACAAATAAACTGCAACTAAAACATGTATGTTATCAAACATTAATTAGATAATTGTGCCATGTGATTTTTACACAATTGAACACATGTATGTTATTCCCTACGTATATATACAACAGTCTGTCCGTTATCACTGTGATGTCTCAAGTTATTTATTATTACAGAAAGATATTCCAGCTCTGTTTTTCTTTATATTCAGTGAGAATTATAACATACATTTTAGTTAAGAGGTCTGTAACGTTCATGTCCGTGATTTAACCAGGCCATTACTAACAGTTCTATATATTAGTATTTGACACGACACGCATTTACCTTGGCATCCACAACTTTTTCAAGTCTACTGTCAGTGTTGTTCTGATCAAGACCATTAAATAACGCATCGCATGTCTTAGATTTGCTGTTCGTAAAATTTAACAAATATGAGCTAAATGCTAAAATTATTTGTCAGTGTTTTAACCCCTTTAAAAGTATGTTCGTGAAGTTGGCAGCCTAGCAGCCTAGCAGCCCAGCAGCCTGAAGTTGGCAGCCTAGCAGCCTAGCAGCCTGGCAGCCTAGCAGCCTGGCAGCCTAGCAGCCTAAAGAAAACTTAGAATAGTACAAACATGAAATCGTCGGATATGAATCGGAAGCACATACTTAGACCATTGCACGTCTTATTTCAGTATCGCGATCTTTATTTTTTTAAATATTGAACTTTGTTTTTTTTATTTTGACGCTTCGAAATTTGTGAAGTTAGCAGCCTAGCAGCCTAGCAGCCTGGCAGTCTAGCAGCCTAGCAGCCTAGCAGCCTAAAGAAAACTAAGGAAAATACAAACATGTAAACCGTCGGAAATGAGTCGGTAGCACATACTTAGACTATTCCACGTCTTTTTTCAGTATCGCGAACTTTATTTTTTTAAATATTGAACTTTGTTTGTTTTTTTGTGTTTTTTTTACAATTCGAAATTTGTGAAGTTAGCAGTCTAGCAGCCTGGCAGCCTAGCAGCCTAGCAGCCTGGCAGCCTAGCAGCCTAAAGAAAACTTAGGACAATACAAACATGTAAAAGTCGGAAATGAGTCGTTAGCACATTCTTAGACTATTCTACGTCTTTTTTCAGTATCGCGAACTTTATTTTTTTAAATATTGAACTTTGTTTGTTTTTTTGGGTTTTTTTTACAATTCGAAATTTGTGAAGTTAGCAGCCTAGCAGCCTAGCAGCCTGGCAGCCTAGCAGCCTAGCAGCCTGGCAGCCTAGCAGCCTAAAAAAACTAAGGAAAATACAAACATGTAAACCGTCGGAAATGAGTCGGTAGCACATACTTAGACTATTCCACGTCTTTTTTCAGTATCGCGAACTTTATTTTTTTAAATATTGAACTTTGTTTGTTTTTTTGTGTTTTTTTTACAATTCGAAATTTGTGAAGTTAGCAGTCTAGCAGCCTGGCAGCCTAGCAGCCTAGCAGCCTGGCAGCCTAGCAGCCTAAAGAAAACTTAGGACAATACAAACATGTAAAAGTCGGAAATGAGTCGTTAGCACATTCTTAGACTATTCTACGTCTTTTTTCAGTATCGCGAACTTTATTTTTTTAAATATTGAACTTTGTTTGTTTTTTTGGGTTTTTTTTACAATTCGAAATTTGTGAAGTTAGCAGCCTAGCAGCCTAGCAGCCTGGCAGCCTAGCAGCCTAGCAGCCTGGCAGCCTAGCAGCCTAAAGAAAACTTAGGACAATACAAACATGTAAAAGTCGGAAATGAGTCGTTAGCACATTCTTAGACTATTCTACGTCTTTTTTCAGTATCGCGAACTTTATTTTTTTTTAATATTGAACTTTGTTTTTTTTTTACTCTTCGAAATTTGTGAAGTTAGCAGCCTAGCAGCCTGGCAGCCTAGCAGTCTAGCAGCCTAAAGAAAACCAAAGGATAATACAAACATGAAAACCGTCGGAAATTAGTCGGTAGCACATACTTAGACTATTCCACGTCTTATTTCAGTATCGCGGCTATTGATCAAATGGGTATTGTTCTTAAGTTCAGATAATCTTTATATTCATTAATGTGCTCGTTTAAACATATGCATTGTATATCTCTTTACATTTCAACCGATTTATCTTTACAGACCTAAAATAAATATGCGTTGAACATCGTCAACTTCATTTTAACATATACATACAAAATAGCATATCATAAATAAGTCACATGACGTCGCTTATTGTCCATAGACAGCGACATTATTAGCCGCGAAAATGTTAAGATTAAGACTACTTCCTACGTTATTCGAAAACATGTTTAATCCCCAAATTTCGAAGCGTCAGAATGAAAAATAAAATAAAATTCAATATTTAAAAAAATAAAGATCGCGATACTGAAATAAAACGTGGAATGGTCTAAGTATGTGCTACCGACTCATTTCGTTTGTATTATCCTTAGTTTTCTTTAGGCTGCTAGGCTGCTAACTTCACAAATTTCGAAGAGTGAAAAAAACAAAGTTCAATATTAAAAAAAAATAAAGTTCGCGATACTGAAAAAAGACGTGGAATAGTCTAAGTATGTGCTACCGACTCATTTCCGACGGTTTACATGTTTGTATTGTCCTTAGTTTTCTTTTAGGCTGCTAGGCTGCTAGGCTGCCAGGCTTGCTAGGCTGCCAGGCTGCTAGGCTGCTAACCTTACAAATTTCGAAGTGTCAAAAAAAAAAAAAACAAAAAAAAAAAACAAAGTTCAATATTTAAAAAAAATAAAGTTCGCGATACTGAAAAAAGACGTGAATAGTCTAAGTATGTGCTACCGACTCATTTCCGACGGTTTACATGTTTGTATTATTCTTAGTTTTCTTTAGGCTGCTAGGCTGCCAGGCTGCTAGGCTGCTAGGCTGCCAGGCTGCTAGGCTGCTAACATTACACATTTCGAAGTGTCAAAAAAAAAAAAAAAAACCAAAACAAAGTTCAATATTTAAAAAAATAAAGTTCGCGATACTGAAAAAAGACGTGGAATAGTCTAAGTATGTGCTATCGACTCATTTCCGACGGTTTACATGTTTGTATTTTTCCTTAGTTTTCTTTAGGCTGCCAGGCTGCTAGGCCGCTAACTTCACAAATTTCGAAGCGTCAAAAAAAACAAAACAAAAACAAAGTTCAATATTTAAAAAAATAAAGATCGCGATACTGAAATAAGACGTGCAATGGTCTAAGTATGTGCTTCCGATTCATATCCGACGATTTCATGTTTGTACTATTCTAAGTTTTCTTTAGGCTGCTAGGCTGCCAGGCTGCTAGGCTGCTAGGCTGCCAACTTCAGGCTGCTGGGCTGCTAGGCTGCTAGGCTGCCAACTTCACGAACATTTTAAAAGTTACAATTCAGCTTGTCCGACCAATAACATATGCAGCTTGCTTACGGAGGGTCGTAGGCTTCACTCAGATGACTGTGTCTAAAATAATGCACGAATGGGGCTTCCTTTACCAGTTCAGTTGGAATGTTGCCATATATCTTTATAATCTTGAAACCTGATCTATCAATCAACCAGCAAAGTGCATGTAGTTTTGCTGTGCTGGATGAGAGTGTAAAGCGTTACGAACGATTTATTCTCGTAAGTCTTTTATTATTCATTTATTCATTTTTTTCCGTTATATAAAATATAAGTTTTCAATCTGTAAAAATCAAACGTTTCGATTTTTCTTTCTTTTTTTTTTTTTTTTTTTTTTTTTTTTTTTTTTTAAGAAATAAAATGATTTTACAGTCTTTGAGTAAAAAAGATGTAAATGTTAATACAACAGGTCGTTTTCTTTGTATATAAAAGTCTAAGCAGAATCAAGGTGAATTATAACAAGACCGTAAAGAAATAACAAATTTATTCAATCACGTCTGTACAAAAAGGATAAAACATGTATACATATGATAAATATATATGCAACAATATTGCGAATATAAACTACAAAGAAATCAAGTTGTATGTCCCTTAATTATTTTTAACATTTTGTACATCACTGGTTTAAAAAGAAGGCGATTAAGAGCACGAAATTGAAAGAACAGAAGATAGGGGGCGCTTTTGACGAGATCTACAACATTAATATACAGATGAAAATGCGATTATTATAATATATCCAACATTAATCAATAACACTCACCAAACATATATAGGCAGATGAAGTTAGTGAACCGTAAATAGTCACTTTATTAGATACTAAAAGTTGATAAAAATGTATCTAAAATTTACAACAAACTTTTAAAAGTGATCAGTATGTTACCACAAATTGAATTCTAGACCGTGTACCGAATATTGTGACATGTCGAGCAATGTGTGTGTACACCACTGCCTGTAATGGCCTGCGACAGAAAGACTACAAACTCTTATAGAGTAGTAAATATTAAATTACAATCATTGCGTACAAACTGATTAGACCATTTAATAAACAAAGAAAGATTTTTTTGGATATGTTTAATAACAAGGGCATGCTACTTTATTTTAAAAAAAACACATAATATATACATGTGTAAACAAATGAGTCCGTGGAAGTGTCCGTACATTACATCGCCAGCAATGTGGGTACGTTCTCATTTAAATTAAATCCTAAAACTCATTCCCAAATATCTACCTTTTTTCGCCCCAAAAAGAAAATACCCCCAAATTCCTACCAATGACCCAATTTTTCTAGTTTTTAAGTAAAGCTTTTAAACCAAATTCGACCCCCAGTTTTAAAAAAAAGATTGGATGCCACCTTTTAAAGAGGTTTTGATTCAAATTTCGAGCGAAAGCTACTTTGCATAGACAAATTTTATTCGAGTCGGGGAAAACAAAAATTTAACACAAAAAATTTTAAATTTTTCCGAACATACATTTCAGTCCCAGGGCTCTACCATGACAAACAAATTTTCAGCCATTACAAAGGGAACAGACAGATCTTTGCTTCGATAATGTCACCGAGGAATTACATGTATTAGTTAGTGAATAAATGAATAAACAAAATAATTTTTGTTTTCGGAAGACAGGGTTACTAAAAACAAGATGTAACCTGTAGTTGGAAGATAATTTCGGAAGAATGCAAGGACACATTATCCTACATTTCAAATACAAGGTATAGTAATATAAAATATGAAGTATATCTTTAAAACAAATAACTACCAGTAAAAAAAAAACATGCTGTCTCCCTGCATGGAACTATTTTATGCATAATCAGCATCTTTATTGTAACAGTCTTTTTCTGTGGTCTACATTTCTAAACTAGAGAAAAAACACTAACAACAAAGAACAAACAATTGTGAAGCACGCTACAAGCATTGTTTTTGGATTTGTCGAATCATAAATTATCATTAAATTATAATTGGCCATTTTTTTCTATATCTGTAATTGACACAATAGTTCCAATCCTTTCTCTCGTTTTATACATATATTCTTACATATTATTTAAAACATTAAAAATATCACAATTAAGGTGTTCTCTGGTTCCTAGTCCATGAGGCAGCAACAGCAAACTAAAGCTAAAGCCGCCAGTAAACAACATTCCGTTGAACGGTCTTTGTCCCGGCTACTCTGTGGTTGTTGAACTCTGTAAAATATTTATTTGAAAATATTGTAGAACTAGAAAATATGTTTCTGGTAAACAGGTGGTTCGTTTAAAAAAAATGCTATTTTATCTATATTTGAAGAAATAAAACTGCTGTAGGATAGTCTTTCTATATATGGACTTAATTAACTTAGTAATTAAGTGATTACAACTCTGAAATGGTCATTCGGCAACATATAAAATGAAGACCTCGGGTGCATTTATGTGCATTTTTGCAGTCACAGGCGTGGCACTCAAATGCATTTTGGAACTATGCAAGTCTGTTATACTAATTCAGTGACCTTGTTTATCTCATATATCATTTTAAGCTGGGTTACATTGTATTTATAAATTTAACACAAGGAAGAAATACAATCATCCCTGTATTCTAACCGCTAACATACTGAAAGTTTGCATTTGACCGTTTGTTTTTGGACTTGTCTGTTTTCAGTCATATAACTATAGCAAGATGAAAATGTAGATTAGTCAGTATAGAGATTGGTTTAGAGTGCACCCGATTGCAGACTAACCAGGCTCTTTACTGGTGGTAACTAGGCAACAGTTTCTGTATTCGACAATTCCGGCTACAGCAGGGTAGGAATTTTAGTTAACTATGACATGGGAGTTAACGTTTTCTGCATCAAGATTATATTGAGACCTCCCGATGATAAATCAAATTTTGCTTTTGCATTTTCAGTATCTTAATTCGATCACTATGACGCAGTTTACTCGACACCCTGCTATTAAAGTATCTATATTTCTATACCACATTTTCATGCATGAGAAAACATTCAATTACGTGTTGAAAAAAATAAAATGGTACAATATTTTAATGAATGTTTCCGATCTTAATATTTTACATTTTTTTTCAATTTACGCCATTTTTTCCAAGAAAAGACAAGAAGGGTGTAGCTAATGGCATTACTTCCTGAATAAAGATATACGGCTTTCTACCTTCTATACTTTCGTTGTCAGTAAATGTACAGTAAAAAGATGTTTAACTTACAACATGTATATCCGTGTGTTACAGAATAAACACGGTGTTAGCGATAAAATAAATAAAACTCACGTTTGAGGCTGAGTGACAACAATCGTTTGTCCTTGACCGTAAGGCTGTTGACCGTATCCTGGTTGAGCGTAACCCCCGTAATTTTGTTGAGGATATCCCCCGGGCTGTTGTCCATATCCTTGCTGTGGATATCCCCCGGGCTGCGGATATCCCCCATGTGGATGTGGATAACCTTGTTGTGGTGGTGGATATGCCCCACCTCCACCCCCATAAGGTGTATACGCGGGAGGGGGTTCTCCGTAATTCATAGGCTGTGACATTGCTAAAAAAAAGAAAATATATATCACAGTGGTAAAACAGTCACGCATCAAATGTTGAAATGAAATATTCATCGGTATCGACCATGATAGTTATTTAACATGAGAATATAATAAAATCATAAAATGTTGAAATCGATATTTTGTTAACATTGGTATCAGATGATATAAATATAAGAACGAGCACCTACTTTGCTAGCACACAAGTATAATTATACAGAAGTAACGTAACAATTCATTTGTAAGATATATTTATCACACACCCGTGCCGATTTTGCGACTCCGTAAATATGGTATTGCACGGCCGTGCATATATTTTGACGTGACGTCATTAGCGTTATACAAACATAGTGTAAAGACGCGCTAAATGTTAGCGTTATACTGTAGGCGCGTCAATGAAAAATGACTCTTATTTCACTTTAAACGGTCTTTATTTTGGGTATGTGATAAATAGAATATTAAATTCGTGTAAGTTAATTACTGAATTTATTGCACTCGTTGAATAAAAATGCTCGCAAGAGGCTCGCATAATATAATTTTATTCAACTCGTGCAATAAATACAGTAATGAACTTACACTCATTCAATATCCTCTATATAATATCTATGACAGTTAGTGACTTACAACACACATTTCTATACAATGTGCGCTGGCTGTGCACTGAATATCTAAACCACGTATGTGGGGTAAAGTTATATATAGCGGGTCAAATCTAATTTAAACATGTTTAAAGGCACAGTATGCCCATAAAACGAATAAGTTTCTCCTTCTTTAAGGGCAAACATGAGTTTTAAAGTGTTTATATAATTATTCTACAGCATATTCTAGATGCTAACTTAACAACTGAATAAAATAGTGCTAAATATGACATTATTTGTATTAACAGTAGCAAAATGTATACAAAGTAGCATTTTAACTTCCATACAAAATACCAAGTCATTATATAACTGTTCTAAATGCCAAACAAGAATAGAAGCAAAAGATGGTCCAGGTAATTGGCCAATGATTGAAACATTAACAGAACATCAAAATGAAAAACTTTTGAGAAATAAAGGGAAAAGCATTTCAGAGACATAATGGGCCTTTAATAATATTGCTTCTACAGTATGCTTCAATAACGAACGTGATATAGATCAAACCACGATTGTATTTTTCACAAACATCGTTGTGTTTACGTATTTACTATTTAGTAAACACAGTCACATAAAAATGTCTGATATCTATGTCAAAGCGTGAGTCAAAACTAAATTTACAATGCATAACAACATTATGTATGACACGTTCTTGAAGCGTTAATGTTTTAGATACCGGTATAAACTCGTTTGTACTATATCATAACAATATTTTCTTCATCTGACGCATCATTTATCGTGCTTTAAAAGTTTTCTTCTCATGCAGTAACTTTTTCTCGTGCTTAGGTGCGATTTTCTTCCACATACAAGCAATAGTTTGTCATGCAGAAGAAATGATCATTAAATGTTGTTTTCCATCCTAAGAAACGAACTTTTGACGGGCTTGTTTCGTTTGTGTGTCGTGCACGTGTAAGAGCCCAGTGACATAAACAAAATCCGTGCAATTCTGTAATTGTAAAATATGTAGCTAAATATAAATGGTGTTACCTTAAAACCTATTTACAGTTATATTAACTCCGAGTAAGTTATATAAGAAACGTCATATTTGGACATTTATTAGTCCTAATTATAAGACCTATACGTAACCTATTTCATATTTATCATTCATTAATCTGATATTTTACATTTTTCATTTTCCATGTTACGTTAGGTCTTAACAGATCTTTGCAAAATCGTGTAGCAAAAAAAATGACATTAGACATCGATTTAGATCTAATGCATTTTAACAATTAAAACAGCGTGTATTTACATAAATTTTGAACTATTTATGAACAAAACTAAAAATTAAATACCTTTCAACAAAATAATTAAACTGTCACACCCGAAAAGTCATGATTAAATCCTCTCATTTAATTAAATTCCATGTACAGCAGATATACAAATGGCCGCCATACAGTGCGCGAAATCTGATTGGCTAATTCAAATGCAAGCGTTTAAATGACTCCAGAAGTTTCTAACGGAATATTTTTCCAACGAAATAATTGCCGATGCACCGTCAGTGTGTTCGAAAATATTTTTCCGTTCAAAAAATTGGAATCAATCTGTAAAACGCTTTACTTAACCAGTATGGCCGATGAGCGAAATAGATTGATATTTAAATTTTATTTTTAATTAATAAGTACATTATTTGAAACTTTTTGTTACTGATAGACCATGCAATTGAAAGAACAGAAGATAAGCTTTTGAATAAAGCTTGAAAGGCAAGTCAACAGACATTTTTTTAATTTTTCAAAATGCTACGCGTTTTTGACCAATAACTATTAGACGTCAGGCTTGACCAACATAAAACTATAACAAGCCTGTAACGTCTAATCTATTGGACTAGACATTTATATGTCAAACTTTTGACAGCATACGTTTAGTGCATCAATTATCACACTAATAATTACAGTTTACAGTAACTGTTAATGTTGAGTTCAATAAATGTGCGGATTCGTGTGAAACTTTCACAATACATTATTTTACTAGCAATTGTCGTTATTTATTGAATTTCATTATTACAATACAAAAGACCATACGGATATACAGGTACCATAGTAATCACTGTATGATTTATTGCAAACTTATTTAGTTCATATTGTATCATGTGCACATAAATTAGGTATGTTTACCTATTGTGGATGCTTGTTACAAAGCACCTTTATCAGTTGCCACGGTCGAGTTGTTGTTTACGCGTGTAAAATACATTGATTTATACTAAATGTAAATGTAGATGACATATAACGGTACTCGTGATGAGGGAAATAAAACTTTGATAAAAACAAAACAAGCTATAAATAACATAAGTTCCGTGTAAATATTTCGTAACGTTAATGTAAACAAACCTAATTAACATGATCCATACTAAATGTACATTCAAAGATCAAGTTTTAATCTGTTATTGAAACATCATTATAGATTGACAATATCACATTTTATTGATCCGTCTATATATAAAACTGATCCGATATAAAACATATACAATCAGGAAGAACAGATATAGAAATATCTAAAGGAAGTAATTGGGAGATTTTTTTATTTGATCTAACGTCAAAACATTAAATTGTTGTTTTTTTTAATTAAATATCTAGAAAAGACCTACGAAAGTGTCATTGTTAAACTAAGTAACTGATACCCGGTTTATGTCTCATCAAAATATTCGTCATTTCACGTCGTCATAATACAGGGAAACAGCCTAAATTATCTTGTTCAAACCCATTATTGCTTATTTAATAGATCAAATTAACGTATTTAAAAATTCGTCTGCCAAAAAAAAATGTATTATAAGATAAACAAAAACAAGAAAAAAAAGAACGCAAAAACAAATAACTGTACTTACTTCGTGTAACGCTTAATTCCTTTAAAGGTATAAAACTGGTTGATATAAAAGGGTGAGATCAATTTTTAACCTTTTTGTGTAAAGTGTAAATGTAAATGTACATGCCCGAATGGCTTTCATAAGCTAAATATAGCAAGTAATGTCGTTAACATTTGCTTATCCGTACAGGTAAAGGTAATTACCGCTTTAAACCAAATCCGGTATATAGACCGGAATTGTGACGGTTTATTCTCAGGTCATTCGGCAACTTTTTAAGCATCTATGTGTAATTTTGCAGTCACAATCGGAGCGCCAAATCAACATTCGTTATTTTTGTGTGTCTTTTAATTAAATGCAGTACTGAATCACTAGAATTACCAAGTTATATTTTTTCTTATTTCTTTTCTATTTGAACAAGTTGAACAGAATATCTTATTTTGAGAGAGTAAAGATATGTATTTTATTTTTCCATTCTGAACTTTTGCAGACACTGATTTACCATTTATCACAACACTATACATGTATTTATGTTGTTGTTTTTATTTTTCATTTTTATATTATTTAAAAATTCTTTATCAAATCCGGTTGGAATGAATATAGTAAAAATATGCACACCAGTAGTTCAAAAGTAGCTTGAAAAATAGAAATAAACGATGAAAAGTCTGATTCATTTTTTAAAAATTAAAGTCATACCTTTATTTCCCATTTTCTAAACATAAATATTAGAATGTGTAAAATATCACCAATGTATTGAAAAGTCAGTATCGATAGGTATACATGAAATGATAGTTATTATACATGACAACTTATATGTACAAAACTAGAGCATGTAATTCATTACGTAACGACATAGATTTTGTAATTACAATGACAAATATATTATTGCCGTGCATATATCAATGGACACTTTCCGATGCACGTCAAATGCGACGGTTATATACCTGCCAACATAATTATGCATTTTAAGCTCGACTTTATTTATTTTTTGTTTTTTGAAAAAAAGTAGAGGCATTGTTATAGTCCTGGCGGCGTTGCCGTATATAGTAGCATTTGCCGTCCGCAAACTTGTTTATATTTTAGATATGAATCTATGAAAATTATATTATATTTTACTGGAATGACAGAAACAATAAACACATGAGAAAATATTTATGATATTTGCGTATTGTATCCGTACAAATCTCTTTCTGTTCTATTATTAAGTTAGGTTTATATTTCATACAATGTATATAATGTATGCAAGTAAATTATAATATGTTCGGACTTCTACAAAACTTTTGCAATTATTATTATTCGCGATTATCTTTGTTTTAAACTGTTTTATAAAATCTAACCAATAAACTTCCAGTATTTGAACCAGGTGATGTGTCAAAATAAATCGTTATCGGATCAAATCTTATCAATTTAGCCTCGTTTTCATTTCCCCGAGTCCAAAAAATCCGCATCAGATGCATATTGTACTCTATACAGCCTCTTTTTCATTTTCCATGTCCAAAAATAATCAATATCAAATACATATTGCACACGAATAAATACATCTTTATCAGTTACGAGTTTGTGTTTTCTTTAAAGTGTTTTACTTAAGAATTGCTGATGTGTGAAATAAAAAAAAGTTCATTATACATTGTTGAGTACAATACTAATTCTGTTGGACTTATACAATATAATTCAGTATCGTAATCAATAGTGTATAATAGCCTCATCATATCCATGTTTATAACGTCAGAGACATTAAGTCAACAGTTCATTCAGTCAACAGTTCAGCGGCCACACACCTACAATAGCAGACCTACCTTCCATTTCATTTTTTTTTCAGAATATTATATAAGAAGAAATGCGGATTTTTTATAATCATACACATCAATAAATGAAGAGCAAACAGTCTTAAAGAGCAAGTTTGTTAACTCTAAAAAACTGTGAACAACAATGATTAGTCAGCTATATACGATCAAATGTTTTGGTATATAAAACGTATTATAAATCCTAAGTAGA